TCGTACATAGAATAACGTATACACATACATATTAACAACCTTTTACATATATACCATAAGAGAAAACAAACACAGATATAAACATATATATATATATATATATATATATATATATATATATATATATATATATATATATATATATATATGTGTATATCTGTGTTTGTGCATTTCTATGATTGTGTATTTGTACGTATCCACTGAATACTTTCCGGCAATAACACACTATTAATTGCAAGAAATGTTCCATGACATCATAAATATATTTCATACACACTAGTGAAAGCACTCGAAATCAGAACGTGGATATTTGCTGAAAATATTTACTTCCCTCGGTGAAGCACATTCCATTGCGAGGCAAATTCAAGCACAAACACATTCACGGACACATTTGTTCACATTCTCAAAATCCGCGAACCGTCACATAGCTAAATTAAGTCACAGAGAAATACGCATTCATTTTACCAGTTTCTACGTCACAGAGTTTGCATCACAAATCACAATATTTACATAACTCCACAATGGATTTTTAGCTTACATAAAATTACCTGGATTTACTAATATGTATTTTTTTCTTTCGAACAGTTTTGGGTCTATTAATATAAACTTTTCACATTTCCCAATTATTTTTTTATGTAAGTTATTAATTTATCAAGTTTCATCTTTTTAAATTTTATTTTATTTTCCTGACTACTTTCAAATACTGTTAAATTCATTTTCAACGATTCTGTTTCGTGTTTCGTGTTTTTTTTATGTGTATATTTCTCTCAAATACAGAATTTCGCCGGCGAAAATTCCTCTTATTTAAATTAGAATATATGCTGCCCAAATATACTGATATTAGAAGTTATGCTATATATTTATGTAATGTCATTAAACTCATTAAGGTTGTTTTTCTCATTCCTTTTATTTTGTCAAGAATTTAGATTGAATATACTTTGAAAAATACAAGGAATGAGAAAAACTACGGCGTCGTCCATAATGCGTTTAGAAACAACATTAAGATATTGATCGGTGAATTTTTGAGGATTAAAATTCAATAAATATGCATAATATATCAAGATCATTCAACCAAACCCATACACACAGATATATATATATATATATATATATATATATATATATATATATATATATATATATATATATAATATTCACGGTGTACAAGATCCAAGTGTTAGAGGTTTACAGAATAAGATGCATTAATTATAAGGATATGTGGCGAAGCTAAACGATTAATCCAAAGTTTATCACGTTCAGATTACAGTGATCGGGGAAGCATCCTCTTGGGTGTCGATTCCACAAAGTAGCGGTTCGTGGTCGAGTGAAACTTACATCTCACCAATGAAATATGAAGGGAATGCAGGTAGCCGCCTACAATGCCGTGGCATGACAAATCTTCGCCGTAAAGTAAGGATCACAGTTCGTCTGAACACTTTCCGAAGAAATAGCGATAGGAAATGGGGAATCGTGCAAACTTTTACTCTGTGGCGAAATTATTGTAGAATGGAAAATAATTCATCACATATCATATATATATATATATGTGTGATGTGATTATATATATATATATATATATATATATATATATATATATATATATATATATATATATATAGATAAATATAGACTCGTTTCGAAAAAACCTCGAATTTTTGATTTGCTAATCAAATCAATCTCGAGGGAAAAAAAAGTTTTTAAAAAAGAAAGAGCTACAAACATGAACTTCTGCCGACAAAAAAATCGCACAGATGCAGGTCTGAAGCCCAAAGAAAAAAACCCCGATACGAGTAACAACTAACTAACAAAAGAGCTCAATACAACCGTAGAGCAGACCTAGATACACCTTTAGACAAACCTACCTAGGTGAAACCTAGGTAGGTTTGATAAACCTACCTATATATATATATATATATATATAGGTATTATATATATATATATATGATGAATTATTTTCCATTCTACAATAATTTCATACAATAATATATATATATATATATATATAATGGTATTTCAATAACTCGGACCGATTTTAAATGTGAAGTTCACATTAAGCATTTCACGCACTTTGCAATGTTTGTGGCTAACATAATCGACCAATCGTACGGTTGGAAACGATGACACGTTGTGGTGGTGAGGTTCAATTCCAATAGAAGTGTCTGGGTTTTCGGACACATTCTCGTGCAGTGCACCAATGTTTTCAGCTGAACCTGCGTAAACGAGCATGCAGTGGTCTTTCACATCTGACACTGGCCCAGTCCCAACTGCACTCTTGAAAATTTAACACGATGTTTGATTGTTAATCTTTCCATGGACGAAATTGATAAAGACTTAAGTTGTTAAATCTGAAAGAAAAGAAAAAAAAATCATTAGACGATTAAACCTAATTAACATTTAATATCGGTCAAAGTTATTGGAACACCTTTCACACACACACACACATATATATATATATATATATATATATATATATATATATATATATATATATATATATATATATATATATATATATATATTTTGTGTGTGGGTGCGCTTATTTAATTTAATATAAGAATAAATATTTTGTAAGTTTTTTTTTATTTTATTTAGCTTTTCATTTTTGTGACGCCTGAGAATAAACTTTAATAATAATAATAATATTAATAATAATAATAATAATAATAATAATAATACTGTGTGGCATATGGGAACATCAACAATTCCTGTTGAAGTTGGAGCCCTAGGACTGGTTGGAAAAGATTCCATTAGACTACTTGAAGGGTTTCCTGGAAGTCCATGCCTCAAAGAGATATAAAAAATTGTTCTGACAAGTACAGCCTACACTTTAAGAAGGGCTTTTATATATATATATATATATATATATATATATATATATATATATATATATATATTTTGTCAGTGAAAAAATGTCATGATGCCATTTCTAACCTTAGGTCCCTAAGGGACCCGGAAATAAATGTATAAACGCCAGAAATCAAAGAAAATAATAATAATAATAATAATAATAATAATAATAATAATAATCTCTACGTTTCCTATCCTGAGTGCTTTTGACTTATAATAAAATATTTACAAGAGGCATTAATTTTAGTGCTGACAATGTTCGTTAATTTTGATGTAGTTCCAATAACTTGATATCATCGAAAACATAGCCTGCCCCGGCAAATGGCGTCTTGCCTTCTCTCTTCACCCCTTTGTTTTTACTCTCTTATTTCTTCTCTATAGTTTTCAGATCGCCATCTAATTCTACGTGGCCTTTCCCTTAATCTTCAGTATATGGCACGAGAAAAATCCTTGGCTAAAACTACGATTTTAGTATTGGGAAAAGCCATAAGAGGCAGAATATCAAATTTTGAACGTAGGGTGACATAAAACTACTGTTTTTTTCGGGGTTTTTGGGTGGGGGGGTTTGTGATATTAATAAAACAAAACAGTGTAAAACATGGGAGGAAGACTGTGCAGTGAAGATATTAGAAATGGCTTCCTGAATTATTGGAATTCAACGTTACTTATTATCACAATCTACCTGCTAATTTCGTTTGATTTCAGTCATCTTACATCCACAATTTTGATATATTCTATTTATTAAAGGGTTTTCCAAATGTGGATATACATTCACCGAATTTACATAAAAGACGGCATCTTCGACAACAGAGTTTTATCTGAGCTTCACTCATTGGCTAATCAGTGAAAGACTTCTTATTCATTCAAAGATTTTTTTTTCTAAATCAAATTGATGAATATTCACCGTGGCTGTCACGTCAAACAATACATAAACTCTTGAACTTGCGTCTCGGTTGAGCAGGGACTGAAAGTTCTCATTTGACTCAATAAATATTCATACTTTTTTTTCAACATAGTCCTCACATATTCGCATGTATCCCCCCTTCGCACGTACCAACTAATGTGTATGTGTAAGTGTATATATATATATATATATATATATATATATATATATATATATATATATATAGATAGATAGATAGATAACTCTCTCTCTCTCTCTCTCTCTCAAAAATACACACACACAACTGGGCAAATACTTAAAGCCAATGAAAATAAAGAAAGCATAGATTTATATTCGTTAGAGTCAACCATATATTTGAGTAGAGTTTCAAAGGATCTATCGGCCCGATCACTTTAAATTCTAGTCTGATATTTTCTAAGGATCTTTTAAGAAATTTTCAACAGCAGTTTTACTATGTCCAATCTCACCAGCGATGACACGTTGAGAGAGACCTGGATTTTGAAGCTCGACAATTCTGCCAGGTTCAAACTCTGTCAACTTTTTAGCTTTTGCCACGTTTTTACATGATGTAATTCTGGAGATATCATAGTGGCTGCACTAGTGCTTGAATACAAATGCTTAATTATCATTACGTGTTTACTAATTAAAGCTTCGTTTATATATAGTCTTAAACTTCTGCCCAGCTAGTACTAAGCCTAATTTCCCAGTATTCACATTCTCCTTATTAAATGCTAAAAAAGCTTTTAATTTTTTATGTTCCTTTCTTATTTATATTTTTTGAGTCATTAGTCAAATAAGTTGTGTCTAACCACGCAAAAGGTATATTTTTCTTTAATTCATTAGCCTAAAAATTTTGTCACTCAGTGTGTTTTTGTGTGTGTGTGTGTGTGTGTGTGTGTGTGTGTGTGTGTGTGTGTGTGTGTGTGTGTGTGGTGTGTGTGTGTGTGTGTGTGTGTGTGTGTGTGTGTGTGTGTAGCCATGGACAAAATGATGGGTTAGTTGTATAACAGTTAGAAATATAAGTGAGACTCATTTATTTTATCATTTAAAGAAAAAGAATAAAGATTTTAAAGTAAATTTAACATATATATTTGATACTTGATGTAGGCTTCTTTTGCTTTTATAACAGCCTTTATGTTATTTTGCATATTGGAAACCAACTTACCAAAGTAACTGTCTCGATTTTCTCCCATTTGTCAAGAAGTTTGGCTTCTACTTCGTGTTTTGAAGAATCTTTCTGAACATTCATTCTTGTTCTTAAGCATGACCACAGCTGTTAAATGGGATTCAGGTCAGGGGATTGAGTAGGTCACATCATTACTCTCCCTTCTTTCTTTTCAAACCAACCCTTTGAAATTCTGGATATGTGGCACGGAGCGCTGTCTTGTTGGAAGATTACTCCATCTGGTATGTTATTGTTGAAAATTTTCTCTAATGAAGGTTGTTAACATTGCTCTTACATGCTTATATAAGTGTTGAAATTCATTCTAACCTCACCTGTGAATAGGCTTACCGGAAGACGACATGCGGACCCAAACTATTATGCTTCCACTTACAAATTTTACAGCTGAGGCAATACATTCCTCCCCAACTCTTCGACGAACATAAACAATTTCAGAGGTTCCAAGAATCTGATAAAAATAAATTTTTACGGATAATTTCTACTAAATAAAAATACAGTATTAATAGGCGTAATAAAATCAAGTATGCACAATAAATTAATTTCAACTAACAAAGGGACTTACTCCAAAATTGCTTTCATCAGACGAGGCAACTTTGGTTCAATCTTCAGCCGTCGAATTTTCACACTCTTTTGCAAAAGAAATTTCTTTTTTCATAATAACCTCAGACAGCATGTATATTGTCTAGATTTACAACCTTTGAGGTCAGCTTCTACTAATCTTTTTCTCTATGCTAGTTAATATCACTTTTTGCCTCACGAAATTTAGAAGTGAAGTTAGATGAGATATTTTCCCTATCACGTAGATATTCCCTCTTTAGCAGTCCATCTTCCTTTAAGTTTGTACACATTTTCCGGCCTTGTCCATCACGATTTTTGAAAGAATTGGTTTCGTTATATCTTTTATAATGGTTGTTTGTAAACAATTTCTTGGGCATTTCACATTTCTTACAATTTTTGTGATAACTCTTCTTTGCAATGATTTCAGCCCTCTTAATTTCAGGATTGTCTTTCATTGGAGACATTTTCAACAAAGCAGAATCACTTATAAAGTGATATGAATCTTGTTACTAAGGAATTTAGAAAAGATTTAACACGACAGATTAAATATCAAATAAATGATTTTGCTGCTTATACTAAATAAGTAAAATGAGTATAAATAATTCTTGATACCTCCAAATGCCAGTAAAACATCAATTCAAGAATGCTTATTATAGTGTTTTCAACTCATATATGTACGAGTTACAATCATATTTCTAAACTTTCTACACCTTCCCATTGTACATTGGTATATATATATATATATATATATATATATATATATATATATATATATATATATATATATATATATATATAGTAATCGATATGAGGGTCAAGCAGATTTGTTCCTAGGAAACCGACGGACCGACAACAGCACATGATATTTGATTATAGTGGTGAAGGTTTCGTGTGCAGGACCATCCACACTTTTTGAAGGGCCGAATTCAGAGACCTGGTGCACTAAGTGCCACAAGGTCCCCAAACGACCCTCCGCAGGTTTTGAATTCAGAGTTGTCCTTCTCCTAGACCAGTTGCCATCCAAGGCAATAGAACCCAGTCAGTCCTGCTATTTACCCATAGTTATATATATATATATATATATATATATATATATTATATATATATAGTTATATATATATATATATATATATATATATATATATATATTTCTCAGATGAGGTATTATGTCCACTATTTACATTATTCAGATTATTGTCCTCATCTTTGTTGCCATATTTATCACAACGTTTCGGCCGTTGTACGTTGCGGCCTTCTTCTGGTGGTTGGAATGTACTGAACCCCTTATTTCGCTCTCTCGGGTAGACTGTTCTAGTTCCAAGGGCCATGTCTAATGGATGTCAGTTATCAGTTATCTCCTGTTCATTCACCTCTCCAAGTTCTCCACTACTTTAAGCATGTATTGAACTCCCATCGTCACTGGATCTAACCAACACCTTTATCCACTGGCTTATGTCCTTAAGGGCATCTGTTTATGTATTTCTGAGAATTTATTAATCAAAATGCCCCATCCTATCCATGCATATGGTGAGCTTGGACGTGTTGAAAATGTAAATATATATATATATATATATATATATATATATATATATATATATATATATATATATATATATATATATATAATATATATATATATATATATATAAATATATATATATATATATATATATATATATATATATATATATATATATATATATATATATATATATATATATATATATATATATATATATATATATATATATATATATATATATATATATATATATATATATGTATGTATTCGCAAGAATTTTTCGAAGCTTCGAATACGTTGTTGTATGTCCAAGTGATAAGTGTGAATAAACTGGTGAAATGATGGGTTTGTAGTTCTCTGTTGATTCGTGCTCTTACCACCATTGCATCCATTATCAAGATTTTTTTTTCTATTTCTCGGTTTTAGTATTTGCTTACTTTTTCAAAAACCTTCACCGAGACTATTGTGCTCTTGATAGGCTAATGTCTATCAGTACGAAAACTTTTTTCTGTCTTTTATAATATTGTCTGAACGATTTGATTACATTGTTATCTCTATGTTGATAAAAAAAATAAATCTCTAGCTGATGTTGACTCCACCTACTGCCCCCTTCAGCTAAAGATTCAGAATAATCTGCATACCAGTTTTTAGCTGTGTTTATCTTCAAGTTTTGACGGCTCTTCTAATGTATATATTGATCTACCTTGTCATGACCTTGCTTCTTTTTTACTCATTGCGTACCATTACAGAGCTTCTTGAAAGAAGGTGATCAATAGTTTCAATGTATTAGTCACATGACGTATATTTTGGGTGCGTACTTTTATTCAATATATTATCTTGATAGATGCGTTTAAACAAAAACATCCCTTCCGTCTCACCTGCATGACATGACCTTCTTAGCCACTTAACATCAGCATTTTTCTTCCGACGTTGAAAACGCTATACAAAGGCTTTTCGAATCCAACTTACTTCTATTTGGGTATGGCCTAGCTTTTTTGCTTCGTGTTTCAGATTTCGTGTTGTTTTTTACGACAGTTGTATCTATTTCACCATTATTTTCAACATTTAACCGGAAATATCTTACATATTTATAACCGCCTTTTAATAGGGAAATTCTTACTTTTCTTCATGCGCAATTGTAGCATCCAATCCCGTATAGCTGCAAGATGCGTATAAAATACCGCTGTTGAAATTTTATACGGCAATGCCAGTATAATCATGCCGCTACCGCCACTGTTCTTACTCTATCTAATTTCTAACTGACACATGTAGAAAACGATTTCTTCAATAACTCCACCAAGCAACCACTAAATACTTGCGTTATATCGAATATAACTTCAGATGTCATAGATGAAATAATAATAAAACAAACAAAAAAACTAAATAAGCCATTGGGAATAACGTCGTTCGACATTTTACTTAAGATTTTAATAACCATAATAAAAACCATTTCCTCGACGTCTTAGTCACCATAACTTTAACGTTCCCTGAAAATTAAATACCGGTCGAGCACTCTTGGGAGATAGCGGGAATTTGTAAACAAAGACTACTATTGCTAATACTGCAAGGCTCTTCCATGAATTGAACCCTCTTTGTCATTGGCGTGTTTATTTTAAGAATAAGTACATAAAACTTAACCTTCCTCTCAATTGGGTGATGATAGAATCTCCGATTGAGGGCAAATCATTCGGGTTTCGATCCCGGCTTGAGACAATCGGATGTCCAGCCACACTGATAAGCTGTGATACAGCGAAACAGTCTGCCTGTGAATGACATTAAATTTCTTTATATATAAAAACTCGCAGCATGGCCCGGCGTTACCCGTGCTTGATTCAAAAATCGTACGACTCATACAGCAATCGCTATCACTTGACTTAAAATATTTTTTGCCCTTCCTTGCCTTTTTTAAAGGAGTGCCTTTGCCGTGCTGATGTTGCTACATGCCTTACTTCTTGCCTATCTCACACTGCGAATTTTTTCTAAGCTCTATACTAAACATTAAATCTGTTACGAAAGAAGAACTAAACAAAATGAACACAAAACGATCAGCTTTAAAAAAGGACTCGTAACTCGAAAAACCGAATAAAAAAAAGAATGTTAACAAATACTTTTTCACACCCAACCCAGTTCTGCGGAATCAGAATCAACGTTGAGTTTAAGCAAGCGAATGAGCCAATTGTAGTAAAGTGCCATGCAGATTTAAATTTTTCCCACTTGTGACGAATGCAGCTATCGATCTATTTGCATGCTAGCATGCTAGTTAACATTCGTGTCAGTCAGCTGTTGGCTTTCACGCTGGCCAATAGAATCTCCCTGCCTATTCGTGGCAGCCAGCTATAGTCTCTCACTCTGACCAGTACAAAATGGCCGCAAACTACAAGAAAACTGCCGTAGAAACATGAAAAATAATCGATTATTATCGATGTGAGTTGGGAAATGCAAACTTGGAGGATGTGCATGTAAATTTTGGTGCAATCCGTCGAAAATTGCAGCCGTGCATTCGTTACACACACACACACACACACACACACACACACACACACACACACACACACAGACATCCTGCCTTTTATAGATAGAGATAATACTAACAGATACTCGTGTCTACTCAACTACAAAAGGCATTTTCAAATTTTCATCAAATTTCAACCAAGATACAAAATACCTATTATATAAAACATGATTTACCAGAACAAAATAAGCTCTTCTTCGGAAATATTATTCTATGAGTAAGTACGCAATATCAGTCAAAGTTTAATGAACAATAAATTCCCTAACCATGTCGGAGACGAGCAAACAAAATTAGGATTAACGCAGTTCAGAGAAAAATGACTTTAAGAACCTCGCCGATGTAAACAAAAATAAACACATTAATTTATTCTATCTTAACCAGATGCACCCTAATTATAAATAAGATGAAAAAGCAATTAAAAACATAATTCGCTGGCTACATATCACTTAATGATTATATGAAGCAGCTAAGATT